AGAGCTCATCAATTTCATCTTTTTCCAAGTTAAAGAAACTATGTAACATGGCAAATTTTCAAAAGTCCCCTTGGCTTGAAAATAGGACAATTTTAAGATCTCCTGGTGTTTGCCTGCAGCAAGATGGCGGCGGTCTCAATGTCAGGGGTGCTGAACCAGGCGGTGTGGTGGAGAAGGGCAGTAGGTGTAGCTGCTATTTCCGTTTCCAGGGTCCCGACCAGGTCGTTGAGCACTTCCACATGGAGGCTAGCACAGGACCAAATTCAAAACACACAGCTCATAACAGTTGATGAAAAATCGGATATCACTACTTTAACTGGCGTTCCAGAAGAACATATCAAAACTAGAAAAGTCACGATCTTTGTTCCTGCTTAAAATAACATGCAGTCTGGAGTAAACAACACAAAAAAATGGAAGATGGAGTTTGATACCAGGGAGCGATGGGAAAATCCTTTGATGGGCTGGGCATCAATGGCTGATTCTTTGTCCAACATGGTTCTAACCTTCAGTACGAAAGAAGGTGCAGTTTACTTTGTGGAAAAAAATGGATGGAGCTATGACATTGAAGAAAAGAAGGTTCTGAAACCAAGTCCAAGTCTGATGGTGCACACTTTTCTTGGAACATAAGAACAAGAGTATCCACTGAATAGGTTGGCACTGACTGTATGTATCTCTGTACTTGACTGTGAATAAAGTCAGCTGTGCAGTAAAAAAAAGAAAACCCTCCTAGAATAATTGTATCTCAGCTCAGCTCCTTAAAATTCAACAGTCCTCTCATGCCTCAAAGCTTACCCAGCATAAAGTTATTGTTCTCAAGTATGACATGTATTCATTTCCTTTTAGCTGTCTTATTTCTAGTCTTTAAATATAGACTGTCCATGGAATGGGGGCTTTGGAAAATAATCTGTCAGCTTCGCAATAAATATAGAGTTACTATAAGGCCTAGCAATCCAACTCCTAGGTATATACTCAAGATATACCTAGGAGTATATTCGTAGGAAAGCATATGTCACTAGAAAAATGTGTGAATATATATAAATGTGTGTGTGTGTATATATATATAGGCTCTGGGTTACAGATGAGATACATTCCTGAGAATGTCTTTAAATCTTTAAATCAGATTTGTGTGCGACTTGGATTTTTGATGAACAGCACATGTATGGTAATAATAATAATAATACTATAATGGCTATTATGTGGTAACAATAATATAGTATAACATGACAACACCCCTGTATTGTAATAAAAAGTTCCAGAAACTATTGTATTCTTTAATTCCTAGGCTAGTAGGAATGTTTTGCTTGGTCTTCTAACCAAATCAATAACCTTTCCTTTTCAATAATTAATCTACTATACTGCTTAGTAATAATTGATTCTTTCATTGGAGCATTTTCACATGTTCCCTTATTCTTACTCTATCCTTCATAATTGTTGTGATAGTTGAGTGACTCAAGCTTAATACTATCTCAATGAATGATGGTGTCTGGTCTTTCTCTGAATGCTTAATTATTTCTGCTTTCTTTTCCATTGTAATCACCTGTCACTCCCCTGGACTTTCAGTGGACTTTTGCTTTGGATGCATGGCCACAGGGTAAACACAGACTCATAAAATTGAATTAAAAATTAAAACAAAAGTGATGCTGTAGATAAATGACCATACAGACAATTGGACTAGTTGTTAGTGTAAAGACGCTGTGTCAGTGAACTGCTTATGCAATGTAGTTTTGTTTATAGAAGAAACTAGGTCCAAAATTATTAATTTATTTCATTATAAATTATCCTTATGGGGAGGCTTGGGAGCCCATTCATAAACATGAAACATAGTAAGTCAGATGTCCTATAGCCAGGGGGCTGCCTGGACAGTGTAATACTATAATAGTAATAATAATGATGATAATAATAATACCCCATACTGTAAGAAATTACAGAAACTATTGTGCTCTTTCTTTTAATTCAAGCAAACAGAACATAAAAACAAACTCATACAAAATGTTTGCTAGGAAATAGAAATTTCAAAAAAGAATACTAAACGTTAACACTCAACCTAAGGTTGCATCAGTGTTTTGCATCCTGGGAGGGGCATTTTTGAGACAAGAAGATGGGCTGACGTTAATGAACAGGTGATGATGAAGATGGTGCTGGAGGGGATGGAGAGGGCGCTGGAGAATCAGGATTTGACTCTGTTGTGCAGGAGAGGGCAGCTTACCACTGAGGGTTTCTTAAAAAAAAATATGTGGGGTTGTTTGTGCAGCCTTTTTTCTCATTTCCATCATAAACAGCCCTGTAGCAGCTGATGATCTCACTAACTGTGCCATAACCCTTTATAAACCCCTCAGTGTTAGGATCTTGATCCTTAAGCAGCTTAGCAACACTGCTTCAATGAAATGAAAGCCTTCAGCTAATTCTTTTGTCGTTTCTTGGCTCTGGATAATCTGATTCTTTGTGTTCTTATATTTCTACCAGCTGCTTCTCTGTGACACTAGATGTCGGCCTGAAGATGCTGCACCAAGGAACCACTTATGCCATGTGGGTCTGTTCATATGAGCAGAAGAAACCATTCCGAATTATTCATTATTTAATTATAAATTATCCTATGGGAAGACTTGGAAGCCCATTTGTAAACAGAGAATGTCGTAAGTTGGTGAAAGTTTTGTAAATGATGACAAGGGTGCAGGGAGATGTTCAGGCCAGGTTTAGTGAAAGGGGAGGATGGTCTGGTGGGCAGTACAAAGGTGCCGTCTGTGCCTGGGGGGCTGTTAGAGACCCTTTTTATATGGGACTGTAGAGGGTGAGCACATGCCACAGCTTGCCTGTAAAGTGAAGGTCTTTTGGCTTGAACCCCTCAGCGGGATGAGCTAGCCAGATCCTTCGTGTCTTTGTCTTAGGAGACTGGGAGGAGGAGGAGAAAGAGTTTGTGTTATGCAATGCAGGTTTGGTTGCATTAGGAACCCCCAACAGTTGGGTCATCATAACATGGGGACTGTGTGTATACATACAAGGTCTGACAAATAAGTTGGTGTACTCATCCTAGAAAAAGTGCTACACACTCATCAAGGAATATCACTTAAGGTCACCTTTGAAGTCTCCTTGGAGTATCAACACCAGTGCCTAGTCCACCTTCAAAGCAATTTTGGAACTCTTCTGAAATAGCCATCAGAGCTGTTGTCTTTACAAGGTTTGACAATTAATTAAGTTGGCAAAGTCATCATAGAAAAAGTCACCAGATGGCCACTTTTTCTAAGATGTTTGCTAACTTGTCAGACCTTTTCTAAACACAGAGTAGAATCCCTGTTAAGTTGGCCACCCAAGGGACTGTAACAACATGGTCAACATACAGAGATGGTCCACATAAGGAACTAGTGTACATAACATGTTATGTACATGTGGCACATGTCCCATCTATGAAAATTAGGTCACTTTCAAGAGGTGGTCAGTGTAGAGAGGTGGTCCACTAGGAAGGTCCTACTATCTATCAAGCAGTGGTCTTGCCATGCTTACCCAGGCTGGATTTGAATTCCTATGGTCAAGTGATCTGTCTGTCTCAGTCTCTGGAATAGCTGGGTCTTTCTGTGTGTGCCACCATGCCCAGCTAATTTTTGTTTTGTTTTCTTTTTTTTTTTTTTTCAAGAGACAGGGACTCATTATGTTGCCCAGGCCTCAAACAATCCTCTTGAGTAGCTGAGATTTTAGGTGTGAACCATGGAGCTTGGCTTAGTTATCTTTAAAAAAAAAAATCATTCATATATGCTACTGTTTCAATCAAGAGGATAGTTTTCTCTTTTCTTTTTTATAACCCTGCTTTTTCCCATTTTTTCTTAGTGGTAGGCCTTATTGAAACTAATATTTGTTAGTGAGGGTTTAAGCTAAGAACAAGATTATTTTTCATTTTGTACTTTAATTCCAGGAATTCTCTTTCTTAGTTTGTTAATAGAAGCCAACACCTTGCTCAGGTTATCTTTATTTCCATGGTGATAGGCTAAAGAAGGTCCCACATGAAGGAAGGTTTTTCAACCACTGCATTTTTAATAAAATTCAAGGTGCATTCACCATAGTTGGGCTCAATTTATGCCATTAATAGTCTTCCCAATACAACTGGCTTCAGCCACTTACATCTTTTGGAGTTGTTTTCACAAATTAACCTATAAACCTGTTAAAAACTAACAACTATTGGCTCGGCGCCTATGGCTCAACCGGCTAGGGCGCCAGCCATGTACACCAAAGGTGGC